CACAACACTTCTCACACTGCTATATGCTGACGTGAAAGCAAAAAATTTTGTGTTCATTCATTTCTCTAATTTCTTTTCTTTTCTTTCTCTTTGCATAATTTGCTTCTAGCCGTAGCGTAAATAAAAAAAGAAAAGCGAAAAGCACAACCCCGTGTACATTTCCGTTTTATATAAGTATTCGCAACATGGCACACTTGAACACAATATCGACAAGCAACGTTTCACAAGGAACGTGGCAATGCCGAAATGGCAAAACCGTCTCCTCATCCAGGAAAGGAAATAAAACACATCGCACAAGGGCGCACAGGTCCTTCTTCAAAAAATTTGCTATCCTTTTTGCTGTTGCTTGCATCTTGTTAATGGTAAGCCCAGTACGAAAGATTGCATGATCACGTATAGATGTGGACACTGGAGTGTTCCGCACTGGGCTATATATATGCCGTACGCAACATATCCAATGTTTATATGTATATTTTTGTCCTTCCGATTCTTACTTCCCCTTTTTGTTCCTTTCTCCATTGCCATTCTATTAATTCAACTCGTCACCACTCCTCTTCGCTTCCCTTTTCTACAGCATCCAGATGACTTCGAAACACAAGAACAACATGTCGCCAAAGTGCATAACAGAGTTTCCCGCAGTTTAGCAAAGGTAAAATCACTTTCATCAGAAAATGGGCTTGAATTACATCCGATGGAATTCGAACACTATGACGATGCTCCACCAACCTATGAAGGAACCTATGAAGGTGCCTACAACGATGTCGACGAACCTTATGCAGAAGCCTATGAATTTCCCCCCAAACGAGTATACTCTCGCAACCAATGGACGACACCAAAAAAACGATGTTATAGAGACGGACCAGGAACTATTCTAAAAGAACGGAAAATAGTGGAGTACGAGATACCACAACAAGTGCATTATGAAAGAAAGTGGAAAATAGAACATGATGCACGGGAAGAAGAAGTCGATAGCAACGAGACATTATCTGCCGATGTAGCAGTCTCCGCTTCAGTTGAAAAATCTAGCACATCCGTTTCGAAGTTGGGTGCAGAAGAGCCGTTGCCATCATCCCCACAAAATAAAGCACAAAGTGCAAAAATGGCACAGGAACCGAAAGGATCTTCAGGTGCAGGTAAAACGGATATGTGCACACACGAGGAAAGAAAATACAAATTTTGTCGAAAGTTGTATGTGGAGCTCTTTCTGCCCCCAAAGAAAAACGCCTCGTTGGGGAGATAGAATATTCATCGAATCCTATTGCACACGCCTAATTTACAGGAACGAGCGCAAGCACCGGAAGCATCGGAAGCACAAAGCATGGCAAGCAGAATAAGGCAGTTAACATAAAAACCGGAAGAGGCTTTAGTAGACGGCAATTGGCCACATATATTACTTATAGGTACTGCAAGTTCTTCGTTGCGGCTATTGTCATTTACTGTATAATAATGATTGGTGCTGGCTGTGCCGTTGCGTTTGCACTTCCAGCTCTAGGGGTTGGAAGTGCGTGTTCAAGTGCATCTTTAACTATGTTTTCACTTACGTCAGGAAATTGGTGTGCACTTGGGATTCTCATACCCTCCGCTGCAGGTGGTGCGGGTATACTCAGTATGTTGTCACTTCTGCTATTCCGGTGCTGCTACCGAAAGCGCAGGCAAAAATGCCGAAGAAAGTTTTGAAAGCACAAAATTGCGTCCGAAGGAATATCACAAAGCGCAACTGCTCCGGAAAAATCAGAGGTAACCCGTAAAATCAAAAGTATCCCGAAAACCATAAGTAACT